AAAACAGTGGGTTAAATTGTGTCCCCTCTGATTGGAAATGTGTATATTAAAGCATTTCCATTTGTCCTTGACCCTAAATCTACCTCGCATTTATAGATTTATCTCTTACCTCATCAGTGTAGGTTAGGTTGGGGTGTTCAGTGTAGAGGAGACCCTCCCAGAAAGTGGAATGGTTATCCTTCATTACCCCAACTTGTACAGGCTTTCCAGACCTTTGCCCACCCCTCTTAGTCTCCAGGACACTGTGAATACAGCAGCCCAGACCCCACTCCGCTGCCTCTCTCTGTCAGTCACCTCCTGCTGGCCTTGCCCCACATTATGCCTTCCAGCCGGTGACTATCAAGGGGCAGTAGAGCTACCTGGTGTTCCATCATATAGATGCCCCAGAGTATGATGTTGTTGTTGTTGTTGTTGTTTTACGGTCCTCTTTTGCACTTTTAAGTTTTTTTCAGGCAGAATTTGAATCATTTGAATGATTTCATAAAGGTTCATAAGCTAGGTTTTTAGGGAGGTAGTGTATTTTTTGGTGTTTGCATACACTTCTTTGCAGGGAAGTTTGATAATGGCGGTGCATTGGTGCCACCTTGTAACAGAAGCCTGAACTGCAGCCTGAACTAGTGTAAGCTGGAAGGTGAAAGGGAGGGACTGTGGCCCAAACTTACAAGATAGAACTTTCTGGAAGTCTGGTTGTAAAAGGTGGCATACACAAGCAAAAAAGATACTGAGGGCCTCTAAGCAGGAAGTACAGGTTTTTAGTATGTTAAAGAGAAAGAGGTATGTGAGAGGAACTAAAAGATCATTTTAACGTTTATGCGTTGAGACTTGTGGTTAAATAGCTAGAAGCCTATATAAGCAAAAATGGGATCAGACCATTTATGATTTCTGTAACCCACTTTTACTGTTATTGTGATTACCTTTCTGTATAAATATATTTTTATGATAACATTTGAAATAACTACAACAAAATTTTAGTGTCATTTTTTTTTAATGACCTGGGTATCATCTCATCATGTGGATGCCCTAAAATTTATTTAATTGGTATCCTAATTACAAAAATTTAGTTCCCTTACTATTTTTTTTCTATTACAAACAATAATATACTTAACCCTATGCTCATATAGACGCAAATATCTTTGTGAGCATTTATTTATAAGTTCCTGAAAATGTCATTTCAAAACCCTTTGAACTATAATATTCTTCAAAATACTATTACTCATTTATATTCCTTATATCACAGTATGAAAATACCTGTTTTTCCACACATTAAAAATAATGTGAATCATTAATCTTGTCTGCAAGATATCATTTTTTCATCATTATTTTTATTATAATTTGTTTTTGCTACCTTCTAGAATTCTATCCTATGGATGTAGTATTATCAGTTTTACAACTCTGTGTTATTCAGAGTGTTCTGATAGCTCCTATTACTGACATTCTGTGGATTAAATCTTTTCAGAGTCTTTGCACCACAAAAGAGCACAGTTCTGGGCACAGTTCCTGTAGCTGTTTGTACTGGTGAGCAGAATGTGTTCCTCCTAGGAGAATTCTGGTATTGTGATAACAGAACATGATTGTCATATGAGAGAGAGTCTGTGTGCTGACAATTACGTTTCCCTCTTCCTTCTGCCCCTTTATGGCCTTATGTTCCATTTGGTCTCTAAATTCAGGCTCTGCAGTGAAGGAAGGGAATTGTCAGGATGACAGGCCTTAACACTGGATCCTCATCAACATCTTCCACTATGTCCTGAAGATAAACTTCTAAAAGAGAATTGTTGGTGCAAAAGGTGTACACCTATGTAACCCTTTGCAAGGTATTGCCGTACTGACACCCATAAAGGTAGTTCCATATAGGCTCCCCAGGTGGAGTCATATGGCTGCAGAGGAATGAAGAAACTGGTAATGTTGACATCTAGTCACACAAGGCAGGTGCTGGACTTTGTCATGGATCAACTCTCAAGCCACTACCATAATTGGAGGATGTGGAAGTGATCAGAAGTTATCAAATTTTGCACACAAGCAAAACCCAAAGTAGCATGAGGGGAAAGGGGACAGTCACTGCTTGGAGGAACACAGGAAAGAGTCAGCAGATTGGGATATAGCAACAGTTGTATACATTCATGTTTATATGAAGCAGGTACATCAAATCAATATCAGAAGACCAGATCATTATCATATTTTTAACAGCTTTCTTGCAGCTAAACCTACAGACAATATAATTTACACATTTAAAGCTTATAATTTGATGAATTTTATTAAATGTATAGAGTTTTTCACCCATACCATAATTAAGTTTTAGACATTTTCATCACTCCAAAAAGTCTCATCATGCTTGAATGCAATTAATCCTTGCTTCCACCCCAGGCCTTAAACCACAGATATGCTTGGTGTCTCTGTGGATTTCTTTACTCCAGAAATTTCATGTAAATGCAATTATATAATATTTGGTCTTTTGCATATATCTTCTTCCACTTCACATATATTTTGAAGGTTCATCTATATTATGGCATATCCATACTTCATTCCTTTTATTGGCAAAGAATAATCATAATATATCACATTTTAGACACATTTAACAATTAATGGACATTTGGATTGTTTCCAGTTTGGGGCTATTGCAAATAAGGTTGCTATGTACATTTGTATACAAGTTTTTATGTAGACAAATGTGTTGTTCTTGGGTGTGTACCTAGGAATGGAATTGCTGGGTCATATGATAACTCTATCCATGCGAGGAACTGCCAGGCAATTTTCATGACTGATTGTCTGGAGGAGCACAGACTTAGTTTTTCTTGTGATTAGACTAGTGTTATAGGTTCTGAGAAAGAATATCACAGAGTTGAAGTGCCCTTCTTGTCACATCATATCTGGGTTTACATAGTGCCCACATGAAGTCACTGGTGATAATGTTTCATCACTTGGTTAAAGTGGTGTCTGGCAAGTTTCTAATAACTATTTTTTCATTCCTCACATACTAGTTCTGTGCCTTAGAAGGCAAGTCCATGAAATCAGACCCTGCAACCTCACAGCAAGTGGAGGTGGCAGAATAAGCTTGAACGCTCAGGGAGAGCAGACAGCTACATATTTCACTTAGAGATTATTTGAAAAAGACAGTTTTCCTCCTCTGCACTGGATTCTTTATTAATTCAAACTTTTGTTCATATTGGTATGGATTCATGTATACCTATGTTAAATGCTGGGATATTTTATTGAACAAATGCATCACAATAGAAACTCCAACATCTTGGTATCTGTGGTGCTGACTGGAACATGAGTGCGGGGGAGACTAGAGCACTCAGATTCCTGGCAGCCTCAGGGCACAAAGCTTTTTTTTTTTTTTTTTTTTTTTTTTTTTTTTTTTTTGTGTATTTATTATTTATTTTATTTATGTCATTATTATTGATACTTTAAAGTTCTAGGGTAACTGTGGCATAACGTGCAGGTTTGGTTACACTATGTATACTTGTGCGCATGTTTGGTTGTGCTGCACCCATATTGTCACACCATCAACCTCGTCCATTTCATCAGTATAACTCCCAATGCAATCCCTCCCCCTCCCCTCCCTCCCCATGATAGCCCGGTGGTGTGATGTTCCTTCGAGTCCAAGTGATTCATTGTTCAGTTCCCACTATGATGAGAACATGCGGTGTTTGGTTTCTGTTCTTGTGATAGTTGCTAAGAATGATGGTTTCGGGCTGCATCCATGTCCTACAAAGGACACCAAACTCATCCTTTTTATGCGCGCATAAGTATTCCATGGTGTATATGTGCCACATTTTCTTAATCCAGTCTGTCACTGATGGACATTTGGGTTGATTCCAAGTCTTTGCTCTTGTGAATAGTGCCGCAATAAACATACGTGTGAATGAAACTCCAGGTTCTATTACTGAGCAGGCATTAACAACATAGTTCCCCTGATTTATTTAACCTCTCCTAACTTCCTATAACCTGACCTAAACTATGGATTTCACAATAGGTTACTTGGATGAAGGTTAAGGTTAAAGGATATACAACTTAGAGTATGATATGATTACAGTTTTAATATTAGTTTTAAAAACATTAATATCGTCTCTCCCAGAAGAAATACCTGTTGTCTGACTGAGCCCCTGTCTGCCATCTTAAAAGACAGTTCACATGGTTCCCATTCGAAGGTCTCTTGGCCCTAGGGGAAGGATTTCACTTCCATCATCATTATCCTCATCATCACCAAGAGGGGTTGTTGAGTGAGCATCCATGAGGGAGTGTAAAATGACTAATCCCTAAGCCTTGGTGGCTCATCATTCACAGAAGTCCCCGAGTACATGCAGTGTTTCTTAACTTTCTTTCATTATTAGGATCCAAAGGAGGCTTTTTAGACATTCATTTTTTTCCTCATTAGCTCCTTCCTGCCTAGAACATGAAATTTTAATAGCACCAATATAGTGTAAACTGTTTGTGTGCTGTGTGGTTCATTGTAGTGCCACAAACCATTGTAACGTCTACCATCTTCCTACCCTCCAGAATCAATTTTCAGCCCCTTGGGGACAATATCTCCTCTGTTGAGAATGCATGGATATTGTGATGATGGTAAAAGCTGTAACTTCATTCCTGTCCCTTACTTGATGTATGACACTGGAATCCTTTCTTAGCCTCTGTCAGCCTGTTGTTGGTCATCTGTAAAAGGAACTCACAATGTCTTCCTCACAGAACTGTTCTGTGGGGTAAATTGGAAATCCTGTACAGAGCAGATGGCACCTAGTAGGACTTCAACAAATGTTTGTCCTGGCCCACCTTTTCTTTTCCTCTCAGAGAAATGATGACTGTCACCTAATCCAAACAGCATAACTGCCACAAAGACCACCAGGAAATGGAGCAGGAAGAAGTAGAACATGATGAATGAAGCACCAGGGCCATTTCTGTGTTGCAGGAGAACTTTGCTGAAGGATTGAGGGAGACTGAAGAAGCTCATTGAACCATTTTCTTTAATTCCTTGTCATTTTCTGCTGCCTTGTTTGATCTTCTAGATTGATATTGGAAAAGCAGTTTCCCATTGCGTCTCAAATGAAAAGAGAGTGCAGATGAAGAGGAGGTAGGAGTCACAAGCCCTTGACCTTCATACTAGACCCATTACCACCTACAGTACCTTGCAGTGGGATTTCATCTGCACCATCAGCTTCTTCAAAGAGAGAGAGGTTGTTGAGTGAGTACACATAAGGGAACAATCCTAGCAACATAAAAAACTACAAGTGTTAAAGTCCTAGACGGTCATCATCTCTAAAACGAGACCAGGTGTTGTCCTTTGAGGAGACTAAGAGTTGCATCCCCACTCCTGATCATTACTAGATGCCTCTGCAAAATTGATTTTCCATCAGTGAGTCTGAGTTGGTCATCTGTAAGCTAGAAATAATGATGCCTTCCTCACAGACTTCTTGTGAGAGAATTGCACAAGGCATACAATTGTTTCCATACTTTTAGCTAAGTTAGTGCTGTTATCCAGCTTTTCATTCTCTAAAGATAATGTTTCTGAGATTTCTCTAATAAGATGACCTTGGAATTGTTTTGATATGACTAGACATGTTGTGACCATGCTTGTATACCTTTTCTGGTGCAACACACATGCTTCTCTCTATAGTCCGTGATTAAGAGAGTAGCAGCTGATGGGGGCTTCATTTTGTTTTCTCATAGATGTTGCCGAATGTCTCTGCAAAGAGGTTGTACCAATTTGTTCTTCCCCATTAGTGTATGAAGTTCTTTTCACCTACATTTTCCATTTAAATGGGATGTAGTATAAACACACACTGTCAGTCATCAGGGTTTATTTCTAAACTCAGTAATTATTCTATGATATATTCTGAGGCATAAATGTAAACTATGTCATTTATTTAAAAACGTGATAGAAAAAAAAAGGAATCTAACATTATAACACCAGGATATCAGATCAGCAAATACTTAAAAAGTCTTGTGAAACTTATCATTTGTTCAGCTCTCTAAAGCAGGTGCTCTCTTATAGTTGGTTGGGATACATATTAATAAAAAGATTATACAGTTCAATTAGACAGTATAGCAATGTTAAATTTTCATGCTTTTTGAGGAAACAGTTACACTTTTGGGAATTTAGCCTCCTGGTATAGCAGGAAGAGCTCTGGCAGTCATCACTCATCTGTCCACATGACTCAAGAAGCTGCCCATTTTCCTAGCTGACTCAGAGCCTTCAAGTCCCCTCTTCCTGAGGCATTGTTTTACAATGTAGGTTTTACTATTATTTAGGATAGTGAGGCCAAGGGATCAGGATACAACTGCCATTAAGGAGATAGTTTGTTACTCGAAATTTCCAAGAGGAGGCACTCTCCATTCCACATAAGTCCACTCAGAGTCCACCAATTTAGGCGGGAGGTAAACGTGGCAAAAGCCTTTATTGTGGTTTTCTGTGGTAAATGACAGACAAGGCAGGGTAATTAGGCTTAGGACTGACTACTCGGAATAATTTCAGCAGGTTCTGTGGTGCAGGGGCTGTCCTAAGTTGTCTGGAATTGTTACTGGAAAGAGGCCCTGATCCAGACCCCAAGAGAAGGTTCTTGGATCTCACTCAGGAAAGAATTTGGGGCAAGTCCGTAGAGTAAAGTGGAAGCAAGTTTATTAAGAAAGTAAAAGAATAAAAGAATGGCTATTCCATAGGCAGAGCAGCCCCGAGGGCTGCTGGTTGCCCATTTTTATGGGTATTTCTTGATTATATGCTAAACACTGGAGTGGATTATTCATGAGTTTTCCAGAAAGGTGTGGGCAGTTCCCAGAACTGAAGGTTTCTCCTCATTTCAGACCATATAGGGTAACTTCCTGATGTTGTCATAGCATTTGTAAACTATCATGGTGCTGGTGGGAGTGTCTTTTAGCATGCTAATGCATTATAACTAGCACTTAATGAGCAGTGTGGACGACCAGAGGTCACTTTCATAGCCATTTTGGTTTTGTTGGGTTTTAGCTGGCTTTTTTACTGCAACCTGTTTTATCAGCAAGGTCTTCATGACCTCCTATCTCATCCTGTGACTAAGAATGCCTTGACCTTCTGGGAATACAGCCCAGTAGGTCTCAGTCTTATTTTACTTAGCTCCTATTCAAAATAGAGTTTCTCTGGTTCAAATGCCTCTGACAGAATCAGGCTCTGATATGATTAGGGGAGGGCACTATTGGCCTGGAATGTAAGAGCCCAGTAGAGGAAGTGTGAGTGTGTATGTGTAGTTGCTCTGGATTAATTAGTTTGAATATAAAATGTGTGCTCCTTAGGTGAGTTTTTTGTTAGGACTGGGAATTAGCTAACCCTGGAAGGAGCAGTCCCTCCCCAGTTAGCAAGGCCTCAGATGCCAGAGCATCAAGCATACAAGAAATAGGAAAAAAATGCCACCACTGTTATCTATCCTTTGATCCAAACAGAAAAATCTGCCTCACGCTGGATACCCACTCCGGGTGGACCATCCAGGAGCCACTCCAAGCTTTGATATGGAGCAGTTCTCAGGTTCCTACTCCTAGAGCGACCTGTAGACCTCTGACGTCATTCCTGTCTGGGAGAAATCTCTCTTCCTCTCCCTTCTCTGTGTCCTCAGAGGTCCTCCCTTTCCTACAAGATAATAAGCAGCCCAATCCTTTCTTTAAGTTTTCATAAAAGATGGAAGAAATACTGGCTTCATGTGTGAAGCTTCTGCTTCTAGCTCTGCCACAAACCATTCCTGAAGCAAGGGGAAGGGTCACCAAACTTGGATCCTTTCTGGAAATGCCACCAGCACCCCAGGGTGCCCACATTGACAGATTCTATTCCTGGCTCTAGCAGTAGGCCTGGTGAGCAATGTCTTTGCCATCCTTCTCTGGTAAGGAATATGTGCTTTGTAGTCACATCCATCTGTGGAGAGAGAATAGCAATACCTCACTAGCAGGGCTGTTGTGTGGGTTAATTCCAACTACTAACGTGAAGAATGTAGCACTAGGCTTGGCTAAAAATCGGCTTCGTAAATATTAGCTGTCTTTCCTCTTTGGGGCCAAAAGTTCATATGACTCCTAACCTGCCCCCTCACCCAAGCTTCCTTAACCAAATTGCAGGTCAGAATCACTTTGGGATCCCTTTCTAAACCCTCACCTGAAACTCTTTTGTTGGTGAAATAGGACTTCTGTATTGAAGGCCATTCAAGTTATGAAGTTGTAATAATGTGGGCCTCAAAAAATATATACACCAATTTGGCACCAACATGTATCCAAGTGTTCATTGCCCCTTTATTCCACAAACACCAGGTGTTACCAGCTTTTGTCTTTTTTGTGTGTGTGTGTGACAATCTGATCTGCTTGTTTTTGCCAGACCTTTCCCATTGGAAGAATCATGTCAGATGGTCATTAAACTTACGGATTCACAGGGTCACCCCTTAGACTTTCCAGATTTAAAACAAAACAAAACAGAACAGTATGACTAGTTGAATTTGAACTTCAGATAAGCAAAATTATATACACTAAAACATTCAGATTTACCTAGATGTGCTGTGTTTTATCTTTCTATGCTTCCCATGGAAGACTCTGTATTAAACCAAGGTGCTCTACACAGTAGCCCCTGCTGAGCTGCCAGCAGATGCCAGCATCAGTCATCCATGTCAGTGAGCTTTTTTGGAAGTCCCAGGATGCATTCGTCTGTATTCAGATGATTGCAGTCCCTGGTGATAGATACCACATTGAGCAAAAATCATCCAGCGGAGCCTAGTGAACACACAAAATCCTGAGAGATAATAAATGGCTATTGTTTGGGACGTTTTGTTAAGTAGAAATGAATATCCAAAACATGTGGATTTGGTGAACTTTCCCTCTTTTTCTCTAATCTATTATACTGGAATTTGTAGAGATTCTGTTAGCCTTAAAGCCTTGGTAGGACTTTGTTAGAAATTTTGCCATAATCTGCATATGAGTTTATGTGTGGGTATTGAATTATGAACATTTCCTTAATTCCTTCTTGAAGTGATTTTTCAAGGGAAAATTTCACAATATATGATTTTCAACCCGCTCTTGGAATTTAGAATCTAATTCAAATCTCCCTCCATAAAAGGAGCTTCCACTGCAATTACTCATTTTAAGGAATTCAGAGGCTGTTACTACATGCTACTCCCAAGCCATATGGAAAATCATATCTTCAGCAGGTTGCTTGATGAATATGCTATTGAGACAAGGGATATCTACCACTTGTGAACTGTTTTTCAAAGAAGGTGTCCTGAGATACTTTCTCCTGCTACAGGGATAGCCCTTGGCAAGGAGATTACTTTCCTTGGGTACGCATAGTCAGGGCTCCTCAGGAGACAGCACGTGGTTAACTGTTCATTGCACTCCTTGACCTTTGTGACTGTCCCAATGCAGCACTGCTGGATGGACTAATCTGTCCAGTTCTGGGGTTCATTCATAGAAAGCCCATGTGACAGTAAATCTAAGTCATATTGTCCAATATCACTTTTATGAGGAATAAGGTCAATGTATTATGCTTATTAGTTTTTTGTGATTTTTTTTTTAGTTGGTTTAGAGTTCAGACTAAGAGCAGGAAGGTATTTTGGGGGCTTCTTAAACACGAAAGCATTGTAAAGCAAGACCGTAGAAAGAGTTGAGGAGCCAGTGAGGCACAGAAAGGGGAATAGAGCTGTAGGCCTGTTGTAAGACCCATCCCTGAGGACAGAGCAGAATGATTGCCCAGAAGGGCAGCTTACTATTTAGAGTTTTGAAGGGAGAGGACCTGGGTTGAACAACCCATTTCTCCTTTCAGATTTACCAATCAGTTAAGTCATTCCTGTGATAGAGAAGGAGTGAGTGAGTGTATAGAGAGGCTACATGTTTGTTTGTTTGTTTGTTTTTCATGGATGTCTCTTCACATGGAAAAAGTATCAAAAATGTAAGATAAAAATTTTCCAGGGTAACCCAATGTATTATTGAATTGACTAGATGTCTGCCTACTAAATGATTATATTATTATAGGCCTGCTTCCATGAAATAAATGTGAGATTCCTTAAATGACATTTTATGGTATTTTAGATCATTTAGATCATTTTAATCATAAATATGATTATAGATAGTCTCTAGTTTTCCGCCACAGATGACTAACCACTTAGCATGATGTGTGAGTTTTACAAGTTCACTCTCAGAGGGCTAGTTCATCACCAAGAGCCCTGGGGTACCTCCTGGGTCTCTGGATACTGGTGATACTCCTCTACTGTCACTTTTAAACAAATAAAATTTTTGACCACAGGGACCTGCTTTCGTCTACCAAACTGGGCAGAGTTCCCCCAATTGCCTGGGTCCCAGCCTAGTTCCTCTAGTGAGTATGCTTTCGCAAGTGGTGGTCTAAAGTGTGAAGGTATTTTGCTTTCAGCTATAGGCAAAGGAACTATGCAAAGGCTTGTGAGATATAGAGGACAAGTCAATGCATCACAGTTGCCATGGAAACCTGAAGTTATTATGGGGCTTCTGCATCTTTTAATAGAGCAGAAGACCTAGAAGAATATGGCTATGAGAGCAAGGTCCTACCTTCAGGTGTCTGGGACTCAGCTGAGGGTGTGGGTGCCCCATGGTGGGGGCTGAACTGCCCTGGGATGAATGAGAGAGATATAGGGCTCTTTCTCACCCCAGTGAGTGTTGCGTATTCCTCCAGGGTGTCCTGTAGCTACTTTCCACATAAAGGCCAGACGTGGGAGGATGAGACTGATAATGACTCTCTTTGACCTCAGCTTCCTCCTCTGTAAAATGGGGATAAGAATGCTCACATACGGCCGGGCGTGGTGGCTCACGCCTGTAATCCCAGCACTTTGGGAGGCCAAGGCGGGAGGATCACAAGGTCAGGAGATCGAGACCATCCTGGCTAACACAGTGAAACCCCGTCTCTACTAAAAATACAAAAAAATTAGCCAGGCGTGGTGGCGGGTGCCTGTAGTCCCAGCTACTCGGGAGGCTGAGGCAGGAGAATGGTGTGAATCCAGGAGGCAGAGCTTGCAGTGAGCCGAGATCACGCCACTGCACTCCAGCCTGGGCAACAAAGCAAGACTCTGTCTCAAAAAAAAAAAAAAAAAGAATGCTCACATACAGGATTGCTGCAACCAGGATTGTAATAACACAAATGCAAGCCCATAGCCCTGTGGTTATTGCAGAATCAGGAATGCCTGTGTGAGTTGAGGTCACTTCTCATTCTTTTTCAATTTTGTTGTTAGAAGATAGATGAGGAAAGGAGAAGAAAAAGGTCCTAGTGAGAAACCCACTGATGACCCTTCTAATTGTTATGATCACTGCCCAATTGTATCAGTGTCATTGTTCACTAACCCAGTGCCTAGCATGGTGCCAGGCACATAATTACTCTAAGAAAGCACAGTGATTGCTGGATTCTTTCTCTCCTTGTGCAGCTCTTCATGTGGATGTCTGAGCTCCTATCAGGTGTCTGAAAGAGGCAGATTCTGAGGATTTGGGTCATGATGGCTGCCAAAGCTTCTACGCCTGACTTAAAGGGCAACAATCCTAGGAGACCACCAGCACTTACATCCCTGGTAGGACATGACACCTGCTTATGGTGAGTTCATAGATCTGAACAAAAGCATGTGGTGGAATAGCTCCTGTGAGGTTCACAAAATAGCCTAAAAGTAAAGAAGCTACTTTCATCTCATCACTGGGGAAGACAGCAGGGGGAATTTCCTTTCATCAGCAGCTGCATGCTTTGAAGTAGCCCTTGACACCCATCTAAGTGATGCCTGCTTTGAAAGCAATGAATTACCCACACTGAAGAAAGAACTTGATCTTAATATGCACTTGTAGTAAATACAAATTTTTTTCTGACTGTATAAGTCATTCCCATGTATCTCCCAGTTGGGGGTTGAACTATGCAGTTGGTTGGAAGATGTTCCTAGCAGTTTGATTCATGTATTAATATTTCTCCTTGCAGTCTATCAGCTTTAGCCTCATTTTACATTTTTTTAAAGACTTTAAATCAGAAAAACAAAAATTGAGGGAATTCCACATGAATTTTAATATCAGCTTGTTAATTTCTAGAAAAAAATTTATGCTAGTATTTTGACTGGGATTCCATTGAAAGCACAGATCATTTTGGGGAGAACAGCCATCATAACAAAACTGAGTCATCCAACTCAAGAAAGGAAGAAAAGGCCTAGAGACAATCTACAGGTCAACTCTAGAAAGATCAATCTATAACAGAATAGAATAGTTATAGTACTTCCAATTTTATATTTGTGGTTAGAATTGAATCAGTTGAGGCCGGGCGCGGTGGCTCAAGCCTGTAATCCCAGCACTTTGGGAGGCCGAGACGGGCGGATCACGAGGTCAGGAGATCGAGACCATCCTGGTTAACACGGTGAAACCCCGTCTCTACTAAAAAATACAAAAAACTAGCCGGCCGAGGTGGCGGACGCCTGTAGTCCCAGCTACTCGGGAGGCGGAGGCAGGAGAATGGCGTGAACCCGGGAGGCGGAGCTTGCAGTGAACTGAGATCCGGCCACTGCACTCCAGCCTGGGTGACAGCGCAAGACTCCGTCTCAAAAAAAAAAAAAAAAAAGAATTGAATCAGTTGAATTGTGTTTTTCTTCCTCACGTGATGAATCATGAGTTCTTTGGTGGTGAGAGCGAGGGAGAGAGCATGTGGATACATCAGTGTATGTACATGCACATATGTATATGTTTATATCACTGAAGTTGTGATGAGTATCTATTGTTAGGAACACTTAAGGAGTGTTAATGTGGTCATGTCAGTCTCTTTCAATTCTTTGCACATTTTATGAACCAAATCAGAGTGATTATTCTTTGCTTTTTTTCCACCTTTCCTTGGCCAGCATGGTTACCATGGTGACTCATTGACCACTGTGGGATTTTGTGCAGACTGAGAGCATCCATGTATGATTCTCATCTGAATCACTCACACACAGTGGTCTGTCCACCAGACATAGTATTAGCCTTTGATCTTATATGCAATTGTTCACTTCTAAAGGGCTTAGAAGAAACTTGCTTTGCTTCTCTGAGGTTACATTACATAACATAAGAGGACACTAAGTAACTTAAAAGAAAAAGAAATGGGTTGTTGATATTCTTCTTCCTCAAATTTTATCAGGAGGTTAGAAGAAATATTACTGGAATCATACAGCATGCACTCTCTTGTATCTGGCTCCCTTCAGTCAACATAATGTGTGTGAGATTAATGTGTATTGCTGTTTGTAGTTGTAGATTATTCATTCTCATTGCTGTAAAGTATTATATTGTTTGGATATTTCATAATATAGTTACCTGTTATAAAAACTTGGGTATTTTCCAGTTTTTGACTTATCATGAGTAATGATCATATGAACATTTTTGTTTGTATCAAATAGATGGACATATATTTTCATCTCTCTTGGGTGTATACCAAAAAATAGCATTCCTGAGTCATAGGGTATGTCCGTATGTGGCTCCGTAGATACCACCAAGCAGTTTTTACAGCGTCTTTTTTTTCAATCTATATTCCCACCAGCAGTGTGTGAGAGTTTCACTTAATCCATATCCTCACCAACACTTGATATTTTCCATCTTTTCCACTTTTGTTGTTCTGGTGAGGTTCTCCTCCTGGTTTTAATTGTAATTTCTCCAAAGTGTTAAGTCCCTTTTAATTCAAAGAAGGTCTATCCTTTTTTTCAACCTTCTACCTTAGTCAGAGTTCTCCAACAAAACAGAACTACTCATAAATATATGTGTATATATACATGTATATATACATGTATATATACACTCGTATATATGTATGTATATATGTGTATATATTTATATATACACACACACACAGAGACATTGCAGAGATGTTACAGGTTCAGTTGTAGACCACTGCAATAAAGCAAATACCATAGTAAGCAAGTCACATGAATTTTATGGTTTCCCACTGCATATAAAAGTTACATTTATACTACTATAGTCTATTAAATATGCAATAGCATTATGTCTATAAAAATAGTGTACTTACCTTAATTTAAAAATACTTTATTGCTAAAAACTGCTAACAATCATCTGAGCCTTCAGTGAATCATTATCTTTTTGTTGGTGGAGGGCCTTGATGCCGTTGATGGCTAACAGATCAGGGTGGTGGTTGCTGAAAGTTGGCATAGTTCTAATAATTTCTTAAGATAAGACAACGATGAAGTTTGCTGCATCCATTGACTGTTCCTTTCACAAAAGATTTTTCCGTAAGCATGTGATACTATTTGATAGCATTTTACCCAGAGTTGAAGTTATTTCAAAATTAAAGTCAATCTTCTCAAACCCTGCCACTGCTTTATCAAGTTTATGTAATATTCTAAACCTTTTGTTGTCATTTGAATGATGTTCACTGCATATTCACCAGAAGTAGATTCCATCTCAAGCAACCACTTTCTTTACTCATCCAGAAGAAAAAACTCCTTATCTGTTCAAATTTGATCATGAGATTGCAGCAATTCCATCACATCTTCAGGCTCTACTTTAATTCTAGATCTCTTGCTGTTTCCATCACATCTGCAGTTATTCTTCCACTGAGGTCTTGAACCCCTCAGAGTCATCCATGAGGATTGGAATCAACTTCTTCCAAATTCTTTTTCATGTTGATATTTTGACCTCTTCCTCTGAATCACAATGTTCACAAAGTCATGTAAAATGATGAATTCTTTCTAGAAGATTTTTCCATTTACTTTGCCTGGGTCTACCAGAGGAATCACTGAGCAGTAGGCCTCAATAGTGGGCTTAAAGTATTCAGTAAACCATGCTATAAACAGGGGTGCTGTCATTTAGGCTTGTTGTTTTATTTCTAGAACGCAAGCAGAGTATATTTAGCATAATTTTTAAGGGCCCTAGGATATTCAGAACATTGGCTTCAATTTTAAGTCACCAGCTTTATTAGCCCCTAAAAAAAAGAGTCAGTCTGTCCTTGAAGCCTTGAAGCCAGGCATTGTTTTCTACTTTCTAGCTATGAAAGTTCTACATGGCATCTTCTTCCACTATAAAACTGTTTTCTCTACATTGAAAATACTTTGTTTAGTATAGCAACCCTCATCAATTATTTTACCTATGTCTCTGGATAATTTGCTGTAGCTTCTACATGAGCACATGCTACTTCACCTTGCACTTTCATGTTGTGGAGATGGGTTCTTTCCTTAAACCTCAAGAACCAACCTTTGCTGGCTCCAACTTTTCTTCTGGCTACACTTTTCTTCTGCTGCTTCCTCATGTTTCTTAGCCTTCATAGAATTGAATAGAGTTAGAGCCTTGCTCTGGATTAGGCTTTGGCTTAAGGGAATGTTGTGGCTGATTTGATCTTCTATCCAGGTCACTAAAACTTTCTCCTTATCAGCAATAAGGCTGTTTTGCATTCTTTTCATTCATGTGTTCACTAGAGGAGAACTTTTAATCTCCTTGAAAAACATTTACTTTGTGTTCACAACCTGGCTGTTTGGTGCAAGAGGCCTAGCTTTTGGCCTGTCTCGACTTTTGACATGCCTTGCTCACTCAGTGTAATCATTGCTAGCTTTCGATTTAAAGTGATAGACATGGGACTCGTCCTTTCACCTGAACATTCAAAGCCATTGTAGGGTTAATATAATAGCCTAATTGCAATATTGTTGTGTCTCAGGGAATAGGGAGGCCTGAGGACAGGGAGAGAGACCAAGAAACAGCCAGTTAGTGAAGCAGTCAGAGCACATACATGTATCAATTAAGTTAGTCATCTTAGATGGGTGTAGTTTGTAGTGCCTGCCCCAAAACAATTACAACAGTAACATCAAGGACCACTGTTCAAAGATCACCACAACAGCTATTACAATAATAATGAAAAAGTTTGAAATATTGTGAGTATTACCAAAATATGACAGAGACACAAAGTGAACACATGCTATTGGAAAAATGGTGCTAATAGACACACTTGATGCAAGGTTGCCACAAAACTTCTGTTTGTAAAAGAACATGAAATATCTGTGAAGTGCAATAAAGCAAAGTACAGTAATATGCCTGTATGTGTATACACATACACACAAGCACACACACATATGTACACACACACACACACACATACACACAGAGGGTCCTTATTACGGAGTTACATTCCAGTAAACCTATCCTAAGTTGAAAATATCATAAGTCAAAAATGCACTTAATACACCTAACCTACTGAACATCACAGCTTAACCTAATTAACCTAATTTGCCTTAAACACACTCAGAACCCCTACATTAGCCTACACCTGGGCAAAATCATTCAATACAAAGTCTATTTTATAATAAAATATTGAATATCTTGTGTAATTTATTGAATACTGTACAGAAAGTGAAAAACAGTTGTATGAGTACTCAAAGTACAGTTTCTACTGGATGCATATCACTTTTGTGCCACCATAATGTTGAAAAATTGTAAGTTGAGCCATAGTGATAAAGATTTATTATAAGTAATTGGCTCATGTAATTATGAAGGCTGAAATTTGTCAACATCTGCAGTAGGCAAACTTGATTTCCAGGAGAGCCTATGGTATAGTTCCTATTCAAAACTGAAGGTCTGAGAATCAGGAGAGCAGGAGAG